GGTTAGACTCGTAGCCCCTGTTATGGCTATTTATGTTAGCGTGAGAGGGGTCTGCTACATCAGAAATTGAGTCAATCACTTTCGGGTTTTGAATAACCCACGAAGTATGACGGAAGACAACTCGTCATCTTCGCATATTGTTTCCCTCACACCAGACGTCTTGTTGCCAGTGAGTGGTTCGGATGAGTTGGAAGAGCTTCCGGTAGTTATCAGATGCAGCTGCTGCTTCCAGCTCATTGGCACGCTCCGTTCTCAAGCTTTGCCCGATTTCCTTATGTAACATCCTTCATTTGTGGTTAAACTCACGGTCACCCGGAGTAGTTCAACGGGCTTCAATGAGTTTTAAGGAGCCTGAAGCAACCCAGTACTTATAAGCGGGAACGTTTCGCGAAACAGTGAGCGGTTTTACTCGCCATTTTCATGCAGTTGCAACTAATGCCCATCTATACGTTTCGGTGGATTGGAAGCTAACCTAGAAACTAGCTCGGTTCGATACTTACTAGCAACAGAAGTTGCGACCAGCTTGGTAACATCAATCCGTTAGTGACGGTCATTTCGTTGGCCACTGAAAAGTAAGGTAAGATTGGCGCAGACCAGGGTATGATCAGAATGCAGATAGGTACACCAAAAGGAGCGGCAGTCTTGAACACAACCACACCAGTTGTAGCTGACCGCGAAGTGATCAATCTCAGTCCAGGCTTGAGGTGTAGAGGGAGGACGCCAGGTAGCGCTGTAGTGGCATTGGACCATAACCACACTATCCTCAAAGCTGAATACGAGATTACTCGGAAAATAGGTATTCAATATTTAACGCGAAGAAATACCTAACGAAGGAGAAGGCGCGAATAATGAATTGAATAGACTAGAGTTGATCGAACGGCATGGCTCGACCATGCAGGCGTGGTCTCTGCCGAATGTTACCTTATATCTTCTTTTCATATTAAATATATTGTTCTTTCTCTAGCCTAACCTTGTTCTACAGCATGTATTGGTAATTGATACGATACAGTGAGTTGGTGTAGTCGATGGTGTGACTTCCACGTAAGATCTTATAGATTAGGCAGTCATATCATGACAAATCTACAAATTTAGGATTAGGTCTATTATTAGAGCAGTACTAATATCATAGTAGACCATAAGTTCTACAGCGCATCGGTGATGACTATGCCGAAAGTTAGTGCTAGCCAGAAACAGGTTGTGGTCTGTGCATAGTTGCAGTAGACGGTTCACGTTATCTGACCTGCGACCAACGATTCCTCATCCGTCAACTAAACAACTCTTTTCTGTGCCTAGATGACCGACCTGAGCATTCAATTCTCCGGCTAGTACTAAAACATCTGTCGAACGCTGTTTCTGGAGAAGAACAGATAATTGGTGATAAAACTCATCCTTGATTTCATCCGGGCTGCAATCTGTCGAGGCTTGGCAGAGATGACGAAAAAGCATCGATTCTCACGCCGATTTCTTCTCACTGTGATGGAACTTTCTAATCTAGCAACACATAACCGACTAGTATTATGGATCCAGTCGATTGGTGCTGCATCGTCAACAGACGAAGGTGCCACAGTTTCATTACGTCATCAATCGATATGCCATCCTAACCTAGTATCCGTTCCTTAACAATTGAATTACTTACTCAGTGTTCTTAGGATATACGAGCAATATTTCGAAGACACCTATGATCAAATACTAGTAACCTACGAATATCCTCTACTCTTACCGGCCATGTTTCACTGCCATAGAGTAAGACGGAACGAACTGCTGCACAGTAAACCCGTCGAGCCTTCTGTGTCCGTGCTGAGATTTCGTCACACACCAGACTTTCAAGATAAGTGAAGAGGTCGACACACTCAACTACTTCACTCTCTATCATTAGTTCGGGTGTCGATGCAACGCAATCCTTAAGCAAGGCTTTACACCTCGAGGGTGAGAATCGCATATCAACCTCTGGTAATCTAGACGAGGAAAGTGTTATCTCTAAAAGCACGCCAACGACAAAGTTAAACAAGAGTGGAGTGAGCGTGTATAGATATACCTGAGAAGCTTATTTTGTGAATAGTTTTTAATGTTATTTGTACTTAACTTTCCAATTTCCCACTGTATGTACATTTGTCGTGAAATGGCTGTACGTGTTATTTAAGTGAATGACCTTGAACAAACTTTCCGTTGTGTAACTTACATAGCATGACATACCGTGGATTGCTAACAAATACATTGTTGCACACATATCCCTTGCTCTACATTCATTTATGATTGAGTTAACTGAAGGCCAAATAGAATATTATCAACACTTATAGACTGTGATTGGGAATGTATCATACTTGTCATTGGAGAGTTCATCAACTTGATTGGAATTATCAAACATTTATAATTGTGGATTTTCAACACCAGACCAAATGCGGACACGCATCAATTTAGTGAATGTAAGTAAAGTCCTTATTTTCTATTGTATTTGTAACAATTAACTTATATACATTAACAGCACTATTGATCTTACCCAGACAACCCAAAAAGGGGAAATAATGGGGAAAAAAGGGGAGATAAAGGGGTAAATGCTTTGGTGGCGAAAGGGGAAATAAAGGAGAAAACGCGCCAGAATGTCGCCTTTTTCGCCTGTCCGGGGGAAATAATGCGGAATTTCCCCTTTTTCGCCTTTTTGTCGACAAATTACCCACTTATCGCCTAAATATCCGCCGAATCGTCGCTTTTCGCCTAAATATCCGCCGAATTGTTATTTATCAATAACTTTGTCAATATTTTTTACGCTTGTACATTGTCTGGTCCACCACAAGTGGACAGCTATGACGAACACCAATTGAGGTAATCAATTCTGATGACAGTTCGACATAAGCTCTCACTCGACCAGTTGTGTTCGAGTAGAGAGCCTTTATAAGGTTAATGTACTTCTTTGGTACTCCTTTCAGTGACAAACACTGCCACAAAACCTCACGATCAACAGGGTTGAATGCCGCCTTAAGGTCGAGAAATACTGCGATTGTGGGGCGTCTTGATGTGTGTCTATGTTCTGGGACCTGACATAGTGTGAATATCTGATCTATACAACCACGTCCAAGTCGAAAACCGGCCTGATTTTCTCTAGTCTGCTCTTTACGAGCTTTGGTTAGGCGTCGAAGTATTATTGAAGCTAATATTTTAAACACTATACTTGTCAATCTGATTCCTCTGTGATTGTCACAAGAGGACTTTTGTCCTTTCTTATAGACTGGCACAATCAGTGACTGAGACCAATCAGATGGGATTACGTCCAGTTTCCAAATTCTACCTAAGACCTCAGTTAATCTCACTGCTAATATTGGACCACCATCTTTAAAAATCTCAGGAGTAAACCTCTCAGGACCTGCTACACTCCCTCGCTTCAGATTTCCTATGGCTTTTACAACTTTGTAAAGAGGCGGAGGACCTACATTAACTTGCTATTCAGGTTGACTGGAGGTCGTGTGAAACCGAAGTGTGATTGAAGGCCAGTTGAACCGATCCCTAAAGTGTTCTACCCATTGATCCAATCTCCTGGATTGAGAAAGTATAATGTATCCGTCTTTTTCTGAGAAAGTTTCGTCAACAGTTGAGTTCGTAGTACCGGTTTCCTTAAAAAGTCTGAACAATCGTTTGCTATTACCTGTTGCCGCTGACCTTTCCATCTCTCTTGCTTTCAAAATATATATACTTACTTTTTTTTACATCAAAGGCATTCTTTATGTTTGGATTAAATTTCAATGTAAAATTAATGTAATTAACCTAGCTTGGCATCATTATTTGCTCTTGTTAACCCTCGTGAGGAGCTTAGGCCGGTCTACCAGAATTCTTCCTGGAACTCTGTTCTTAAAAATCCTTTCCAGTTGCTATTGATTCTTTTGATGTCTGCTTCTGATCCTCCCTTTCATTGCAATTTAGGACATGCCTCGCGATTCAGTTTGATGATTTCCGCAATACATGTCTTATTCAGCGTCTTTTCCTAATGTTTTCTTCATTTAGAAGCTAGTTTGTTCTCTCGCACAGTTGGCTGTTGCTGATGGTATCCGGCATACGGACATTCAATATTTTACGTAAACAATTGTTTATAAATACTTGTGCATTTTTGATGATGGTTGTTATATTTCTCGAGGTAGAACTGTCTTCACGTTGGTATTAATAAGCTAGAAAAACGTCATAGTATGATATCAAAATATGAGTAGAGGCTGTCAAAAGTAACTGTTTAATTTATTTAATTCAGTTGATAAAAATATAATAACTGTCAGTATTAATCAGTGTTATTAACAATAAAACGCTATTACACAATATTCGAATGCACTGAACGAACACTTTTGTGGGGATAACCAATTTATCATTTAACGTCAAATATCACAATGCTTTCGTAAAATTAAGTCCTTTATTTGCAAGTCTCCCTTCAGTTGTCCTGTACATACTTCTTCATTCCTCATATTCGCCTGTCATTCCAATTCCTCACCGTTTCCTTTTCTGTTTTTTTGTTAGCGGGACATAGACTAGATTAAAGCATGCTCAATGCACGATTGATTTGGCGCACGCCGATTGGCTAATTCTTATCCAACCAGCATTGGTGAACACTTAGTGAACACTCCAGAATCTTCTCATGCAAAAACTTTAAATATACTAACGTTTTCCCTATTGTGCTGCTGACTTGCTTCTTACTTCCATCTAACCGTGTTCTGATTTGGGGACTTGTCGAGTGATTCGGTGTCCGAGAATACTAAGCAAACGTAATAGCTGGGTCATAACCGTAAGAAAGAGATTATAACATTTTTGTAATTCAATCTGAAACTTTTGCTAAAAGTCACTCTATTTCACTTTGGTATTACATACTACTTATATCTGTCAAAATAAGTAGCATACATCACGCGTTTATCTGTTTTTTAATGGTTGAATTATTCAAGTGTGATTTAAATGGATTGATGTAAACCTCAGAACACCATACCATTCACATTTTACGTTGTTTGTACTTTTATTCTATTACACTATTGTAGATGGAATTTCATCAGCTTTCGCTTCGTCATCATTCTCATCTATTTTATCATTGTCATCGTTTAGATCTGTATTATCAAATAATAATAATTTAATATTAGCTACTGAATCAGCATGTCCATCAAATCCTGGAATTGTATGTAGTCATGATTATATATTAGTGGATGATCGTATATCTAATGTTTATGACGGTACAATATACCAATAATTCGTTTTTGTTTAATCAATAATTCCACATTGAAAACAATCGCCACAAAGACAAAAACAAAATTACCAGAAGTAGAAATGATCAATTCATCATTATCTTCTTCTTTTTCCTCGATCTCCTCTGGATCATTTTCATTGAATTCAATAGATTATAATAAATTATATGCACCAGATGAATCATATTTAGTTGGGCAAATTTATGGTCTAATCAGTAATGTATACGGTTTACAGTTTACATCAAATTGAAATTTATTAGATCTATATATTATTCATGGAAAAGGCATAGTGTTAGAATATATTGGTAAGCGTTAGTTTGTTTTTTGTTTATTATAGAGATTGTTTAAATGTTTATGTTATACACATGATGGACTGATTGTAGACAGATAATAATTGAAAATGAGGAAACATTAAATGGCTATTTCATTCATTGTAGCATTGAACTGTTCAGTATTTTACTCTGATGAACCATTATTATTTCTTATTGTTCGTTATTGTCGTTGAAACATTCTCACGTTCTAGTGTGATCAGTCACGTGTTCGTGATCGAAATCGCATTGAAGTCCTGTAGAATAGACACTGTCATGGTATCGTGTGTAGATATTTGTCTCATTCGTGTAAAGAAGAAATTCGAGCGTCATTTCAAATCGATCGTTCTTGACTCAGCGGTCTAAAGCTTATACAGAGGCTGTAAAGTGTTTTGTTTTTGAACTTGATCTATGTTAGTCTTGTGGATTTTCACTATTCAGAAGTCTTATATTAAGGACGAAACGGTTGTCTAGTGCCTACTGGTTTTTCAATTATTGCTTTGTTACAGTAACTTTATGATGTCAACTACAATATATAACTGTTTATGTCATTGTGTTTTATGAATATGTCATAAATGTTTTACGAAGTATCGTATATCAGAGTGAAGATTAATAAAGATCGAGTTTAAAACAACTCTGTTCGTCTTGATATCTTGTATTAATTTCCACAATGAGAATTTCTGAAATTTTTGCGTTGACATTCGTTTGATGATTATCAAAAATCCATATACATTGAAACAAATGTATCCATTACCTTCAAGTCTCATCAATGAAAATGACACCATCTAATCACTGAATAATTTCAAATTTCGTCACCGATTGATGATGAATTGAAATGACGAAATCTTTAGGGATAATTAATTAAACTTCTATATGTAGTGCTCGTTGATTTACTGTTAGACAACAACAAGAAAATAACCGTAAATGTTGAATGCATTACAATGACTGAATATTGAAACTATTCTAGATGAACTCAATTATAACACAGTCGTTTTATGAATATGAAATGAAAACCAACTTGAAGTTGTTTGAAGAATATAAAACACATCACATAGAAACTTCAAAAATACTCAACGAAATCGTTGATTTATTGTTGATCGGTTATTTCACTGGTTTATTTATTTATTTATTCAGTTAGTTGTTTGTTATGATAGTGATTATTGCATCATACTTCACCTTGCTTCACTTCACTCACCTTAACTTACCTTTCTAACTGAATACATCAATTGAGAGAAGTGAAATTGATTTTCTATAGACTCTTTCTATTATCATAAAATGATGTATGAATGAATAGAAATTTCAATATATTATAGAACTTATTTGTATCCTCAGCATTACTAGTAGTATGTATGTAATGAATGTTTATCAACTAAGGTGATTGGGATGTTTGTTACATATACCCGATCACCACTTATCTTGACGGGGAATATTGTCTAGTTTAAGAGTAGATTTAAGTAAACTGAAAGTGGCTAAACCAAGATGTGGCACTAGTCCATGAAATCAGTAACAAGTAGACTGAATCATTTAAGTAGCTTGAGATTACCGCGTTGGAGTCGGCGTGATTATCCTAAACGATGATTCACAACTTTTGATGACAAATCAGGACCACTCACAACGGTCTATATACATTCACTCCTTGTTTTGCTTTAGAACCTAACCTTTGTCACAAAATCTCTCTATACCTTTTTTCTTTGAATGTACTGAATCTTTCCTACTACTACAAACGTTATTACTACTCTGAGTAATCTGGGATTTGTCTCGATAATTTTATCTCTCTTTGCTAATAAGACATGACAACTTGAGCTGACGTACTTATGTATCAGATTCTACGTTGCACATGACTATAACTATGTAAGAGGAAGCTGTAAGTCAGAATTTGATAGTAGAGATAGAGGAAAAATATTAAAAAGAGATGAAGTTAATTTAATACAGACAAGGTGCTTTTGAATGCTGCTAGAGTTATGTGAACAGTTGATATTTCCCAGTTACCTACATTGACGAAAGATAGTTTTTTCTTGAGGTATCTGAAAAGAGTATTGAATAGGTAGTGATTTTGCCGACCTGGAAGGGTGACCGCTGACCCCAAGAGACAAATGTTTAAAGCCGATCAAACTGCTTTTTTCTGAGTAGTTGTTAGTGTGTTGGTTCTGCACTTCATATTTTTATTTACCCACAATTATTTTCTTTGAGTTCAGTGGTATTTATAAGCGGAATTCAGGATGCTCGTTTTAACAATGGTTAGATACAATCCTTTTTAAATAAAATTTCTAACCATTGTACATGTAAGCGGCCATGTGACCTTTGTAGCTCATCAGAGTTAATGCGTTGGGCGTGAAGTATTCGAACGCGTTGACAACTTCACTTATTTGGAAGTCTGATCAGACCTAATGGATTGGTATCGGACGAAATCTCAGCACGGATTCGATAAGCTCGTTTGGTCTTTGCCAACTTACGTCACATATGGCGAAGGCGAGATATCCGTCTATCAATAAAAGGACGAGTATACTGCGCCGCAGACCGTTCTGTTTTAATTTACGGCAGCGAGACATGGCCATTAAGAGTAGAAGACAGTCGTAAGCTACTAGTATTTGACCACAGATGCCTTAGAAATATTGCTGGCGTCTGCTGGGATCACCGGGTAAGTAATTGTGAGGTCCGTTGCAGGGTTTTAGGAAATGATGGTAAATCAGTCGACGAGGTTGTGAATGTTCATCGACTGAGATGGTTGGGCCACGTGTTACGTATGCCTGAACACCGATTACCACGACGTGCAATGCTAACCAGTGTTAGAGATGGTTGGAAGAGAATTATTCACGGCAAAACCAAAACGTGGCATCAGTGCTTGAAGACACTAACTTCTAGTCTGAGTCATGTTGGTAGATGCAGACTACTTGATTGGGGTCCGCGTGACTTTCGTAAACAATGGTTGGAGACTCTTGGTGACATGGCTCAGAATCGATCACAATGGCGTCGGTGTATACACTCCTAGTGTTCTTTTAAACTAAGAGAATAAAATCACTTCATATCTTTCTTTCTGCTAACTAATTCTATACTATATCCTTATATGCAATCTTTCTCCTATATATTACCACCTTTAACCTAACCACTCCTATGAATACGGTGTTCATCTTGTTGTGCTAATGCGGTATGGCAACCTGGACCGATGCATATATGTGCCTGGTCCTACGTTGTAGCTGACTGACTGACTGACTTATTACTATCAGATTTGCACACTAAAATTGATGAGCATTTTATTCAGTCAATAACAATATTGTTTACGTTACAGACTGACTATTATTTAGAAAACCATAGAAAACCAAGCGGTATGACCTGATAGCTATTTCGTTCTACTATGGCTATCAGTGAGATCCAATACACGCGTTTCATCCTGTCTGGGTTTTGTCAGCTGGATATGTCTGCGTTCCAGAGTTGATGTTCACTCTGGTACTCGAGCTTACTACCGTCTGCTTGGAGCACCATCGGGTCATCCATTTAGTTACTGAGTTAGGATAGCCGCTCATTTGTGAAATGTGCTGACGTTTAATTCATAAAATACAAGTATACCCATGTGATGAGTCCTAAATAAAACGTAACGCACGTTCTGGATTCCACTGTTAACTACTATCCATTTTTGCTTATAATGCTTGTAGCTTAAGGTAATATTGGAGATGGTCATATACTACTAAGAGACTGATCAATTCAAATCCTATACATAAATGAGAAGATTAAAACAACCAGTACAAAGATGAATTAACGTTATATATATATTTGACTACAATTTGATCAGGTTGATTGTTTGTCTATTCAATGTACTTTTTATTAATCATATTTGAATAGTTTTGATAGTTTTTAAGCCTTCACTTAGTTGATTGGTTTAATTACAAATCGTTCTTTGTTGTTCTGAACAACTTGATCAGAGTCATACAGAAGTTTGTAATTATCAAATGATCCAACTTATCGAAAATAACATCACCTAAACACATTCATTACAACCTCAATCCCTTTGGATTATTTTATAGAGTGAAAATGAAAATAGTGATGATCTGTTGTTTTGTTGTACTTCAAAGACTCTTCAGTGATACTAAACGTATTCAAGCCATCAGGTGTTTAAATCATGAAATGATAGAACTAGTATTGAACTACTTGTTAGGGGATTCCAGTTACACATATTTCCGATTTTCAGTTAATATATGACATAATATGTGGCCATTTGACACAGTGCATCAGTGTTGAAAATGTTTACAGCAATAACCCTTAGCAAAGCACATAATGGTGGTATCTGATAGTTGTGTCTAAATTTGATAACAGTTTACGATCAACCGAAACCCGAACCAAGAGCAAACAATATGGAAACTGTTGCGTTTAATTAAATGCACAAAACTGTGGATAACGGCTACAGTGATTGAGGTACAGTAATTATAATGATAAATAAAATGATAAGTACAATAAACGTTATAAGTTATGTGAACATTTCAGAATATTACAGTACAACTTGCGCTACAACATAAGTGTGAAAATTGGTAGGAATACGACTGCTTACTGAATGTGAATAAGTAGTATAAAACAACATACAAAAGAGTGGAAAGGGAATGAGCGGGATCAATGTAAAACAAACTTAACACCAATATATATCTTGTAAATAAATATCATAATTACCAAGTAAGTTAGAAGAGAGGAAGAGATAGAGGGAGTGAGGG